TTCACATTCTAATGCCTTTTTGAGTACTTACGCAGTTAAAAGAGTGTGTGTGTGTTCGTAGTAAGGAATTTTTCAGGGGGTCGTTTGACATAGGAAAATGTGAAGAGAAGGCAGCCACCTTTTTGCCCAGATGAAGGGTAGAGTGGCAGCCAGCGAAAACTGAGTTTGTGATTGGGCTCTGCTGCTCTGAGATACATGGGAGTTGAGATGTCAGCCAGTCTGCCTCTTGGATGTAAAGGTTAAACAGCTTTGATTTTTATCTTGAAGTAAATAAGACAGACAATCCCACATAAAGTATTGTGTTCCTGCCAATTTCAGTGACCTGAACACTACCTATAACATGGTCTCTCACCAAACCTGATTTATCTAAGAATAGCATGCATAACAAATTTGAGGGCTAGCTTGAGGTTCATTTCTTACTGGAATCATGAATTACATATTTTTGTTTTCAAAATTAAATAATGACAGTTTGATGGCCCCCTTTGTAAAACAAAGAATATTTTGAATAGATCATCATTCTTAACTGGGGATTGAACCCAGGGGCACTCAACCACTGAGCCACATCCTGAACCCTTTTTTGTATTTGATTCAGAGGCAGGATCTCACTGAGTTGCTTAGGGCCTCGCTAAGTTGCTGAGGCTGGGTTGGAACTCACTATCCTCCTGCCTCAGCCTCCCGAGCCACTGGGATTACAGGCTTGTGCCACCAGGCCTGGCCTTAGACCATCATTCTTTACTCTCATGGAAGCTGCTGATTTCCTGTTGCATGCTACCTTTGAGATTTCACCCAATACATACTGCAGCTTCATTGCAGTTCTCGTGTCTGTTACAGGATCTCCAGTCAAAGACCACGGCCTACTTTCTTTGCCTTCATTTTTGGTAGATGGCTACATATCTGGGACATTGACGTATATTCTTTTACCTGAAGCATCTTATGAGATTGAACACATAGTAAGTACTCAGTAAATTTAGAGAAGGAAATTAATTCTCCATGCAGACAAATCTGGACATTTTGAATGTGACCTTGGACCGTCCATCTATCTACCCACACTCTTCCGAAATTATGCACAGCCTCTCTATTGGAGGAAAAAACAAATGAAGTCATGAAATCCTTGTATTTCATGGTGGGTGGACAGATGGAGAGGGGAAATGAGCTTGGATTTTCCAGGAGTGAAATAGAAGTGACACTTCTAAAAAAAAAATTGACAGCTCCTGAATAGGATATACCAAGGACAGGAAAGGGCCATTTTGTGGGCCACTGCTGCCATCTAGTGGTTTATATTCAAATGACAAGCTAGATATTAAGAGTCCTTATGAAGGGGTTTCAGGCATCAGGGTCTAAAATAAAAATCTCAGAATCTTAAAATGTTGGCAGTGTCACAAATGATTGACAATCACAAGCATTGACAACACATACTAAATGAGTACTCCTCCTGGAGCAGTAAGAGTGCAGGGGGAAGAATCACAGAGACTGGAATTTGCTATAGCACACATCTATTTGGCTTACATTTTTATAAACATTTATTTATTTCAGTGATGAGTGAATTGTATGTTACTGACCATGTGCCCTCTGGGGCAAGGGTTCTGAACTTCAGGTCCACAACATTTTCTAGATACTGTTTGGGACCCATGAACATGGGTGAGTTAAAAAATAATTACATCTTTATTTTCATGAACTTCAACAAATTTATCGTATTCTTGAATTATGAATGAGGTAAAAAGCCATGAGTGGAACCTGACTTCATCATTTGTAGAAATTATATTTTCTGAACATAGTATAGTTATTACAGATTCTCAGATCATTTAGTCATCACTACTTTGGAATTACAGGGATTATTATGCCCACTGCAGGATCTTACCATGCTAATTAAGAAGCACATATATTTCTAAATAACTCACTTTAAAAAAATATTTGACATTTCAATGATTCATCCCTTTGATGTCCTTTGTTTTTTATCTTGTGCATAGGAAAACTATTCTGTAARGGTTCCATGAGACTCAAAAGATTTAAGACCACTGCTCTGGAAGTTCAAAGACAGGACAGATGACCATGGTCTGGACCAGGCAGTGAGAGCTTCACAGAGGAGAAGGGACAGAGTTATCTTTTCCACTTGATTAAAAGGAGTCTCTTGGAGCCATTGCAATACAAGCCTCATCTGAGGGAGCAGGGCCAGGCCTTGACTAAAGTGGAAAAATAAGAAGGTTTCTATGACTCTATGTTTAACTCAACAAGGGGTACTTTGGGGAAGAATCTGAGGAGTGACTTCATATAAAAAGTAAATGATTGGATACAATTTCATTGCAGAAGGATTTTCATTTAACAAAGATTTTTCACTCCCAGCATTTATGAACACAAAAGGCTTACCTTCTGTGGGTGGCATGCAGCTGGGGAAGCAAACCTGCTCAGACTTCAGGCAAGCTCAGCCTGCCTTGCGTCACAGTTCCCCCAACATGCCCAACTTGTCCATATGCATCGGTGAGGTCCTCTTGGTTATAAACAACGTAGAAACCACACTGACCGGAGATATAAGAAAGAAATTCAATGGGAGACCACTGGATTCCAAGAAAGAGTGGAGCCATCTGTCAGATCAGCAGGAATGGGATTCTTAGGATTCTTAGCAATAGGTGCCTGGGGACTGTCTCTCTAGAGCAGTGCTTCTCATATCTAAATGAGCACACGAGTCACTGAGGACCTGTTGAAAAGTAGATTCGGACTGCACTGATCTTGGGTGGAGCGGGTGTTCACCATCACGCCTCTACCCCACACTTGAGCAGCAAGGGCATAGAACTGCTGCTTGCATTCCTCCACCCTGCATCTCCTTCCCCAGTCACCCAGTGAGAAGGTGGCTGGAAGTCCATGGACAGCAAATGCCCTGTGATGATTCTGCATAGGAACCTCATATGTCTGGACTTAACATTGCCCTTTTCTATGGGGACGTTTCAGCTTCTCCAGAAAAGGAGCTTCTGACCTCATTCCCATGGCTTGAGCGTCTGACCACAAGCCTTTGGGAGTCACGTGATCACAGGCAGTCCACGGCAGCTGTTTTGTGTGTGGTACTCTGTCCCCTACCCTCTGCTTAGTGTTCCAAGGCGAGAGCTTCTCTGGTCCTCCTCCTTCAGCGTTGACTTCCAGTGTTCTGAGGAGGCGGGGCTGGGTGTCTGGACACCCCTGTCCTGAGCTCCCTACTTCACACATCCCTGCCTTGGCACTTGAGCCTTTTGGGAATTCAGGGAACAAAAGAGCCTACTTCCCCTCAGTGGCCCCCTCTTCCCTAACTGCCAACCTGTCTACCACTTTTGGCCTGGTCCCCGCTCATGACCGGAGAACCGGGCCAAGGACATCTCTTGGCCACTGAAGACAGACAGGATTTTGTTCTTAAAGAATTTCTACAGCTGGGGATACAGATGTTCTTTTTCTGTCACCTAGTAGCTGCCATTGGTTTTAAAATCTGTCTCTGTTGCTTTCTTAAACGTGTTCAAAGCCCCATTGGTGAGTGGTAGCCAAGTTATAAAGCAAGTTCTGAAGCAGCTGTCCTCGGTGGCTCCATCCCAGAGTCTCACATGCTTTCTAGGCCCTCACCTTTCTTCCCCAGACCTTTTTAATGAGAGGACAAAGGTGCTACTGGGGCTGGTGATTGGGAGCTTTCTGTGGACTGACAAAGGGCTGTGGGAGAGAGCACAACCTCTATAGGAGACTGACAGAAGGTGGCTCAGGAAAGCCACCTGTCAGGAAACCAGGTGAGGCAGAAACTCCCCAGTCTGGTTCCTACTGTAGTGCTCTCTTCACATCACACCTGACAAGTCTCTTAGTTTCTCCCTTGAAATTCATTCACTCACTCACTTAGCATATATATGATAGAACAGAAGCAGCAAAAACTCTTTGGTCCCTGCCCTAAAGGAGTCACCAATGTTGTTATGTTGTTACATTCCCAGCCCCAACTCTTCAGTGAGGAAGGCAGGCTTTTCAGCCAGACTGAGGAATGACCAAGTAGTCAGCATTTGCTCTGTACAAGCACCACACTAAGTGCCTCAACTTTAAAAAAAAAAAAATTATTTTGTTAATTCTCTTAGCTATTCCTTCTATTATCACTATTTTTTAGATGAAAAACTAATTTAGAAATGTCACAGCTAAGGAATAGCAGGCCCAGGATTCCCCCTCAGGTCTGCCTGGGTCCTGGGAAGAGCTCACACTCTTCCCTGGGTACATTACTCTTACATAATTGTGAGGATGTTCCTTACACATCCTGAAAACTTCTTGAGACAGGTTGTGAGAGAGGCGGCCAAGGCCTCACATAGGGGACACGAAGGAGTTGAGCAGGTAATGTCCCAGTTCCCTCTCCCACCAGAGGAACTATGTGTAGAAAAGGCAGCCAGACCAACGGGACCACAAAGCTAGCACAGAGCAAGTACCAACAGCAGCCAGCCATGGAGGAGGGAGGGGCTCCATCTTGCCTAATTAATAGGGTGGTTCTACCWTGAAAGGAACTCTTCCCCTCCCTCCCTTGCTGCCTCCTTCCCAGCCACCAGCAGTCTGAGGTCCCTCCAGCCATTAACCCATCTCGGAGAGGCAGCTCTGGATGAAGGCGGGCCATGCAAGGTTCAAGGTCTYAGAAGAGAGAGAAAAAAAAAGTAATGGTAATTTCATTTCTAACAGGCAGAAGTGTGTCATTTCCAGAATGTCAGGGGAGTCTGTGCTTCTATGCTTTAGCCTGAAATGTTTTCAATAAGGCTAATTATATTTTTTGGCAAAGTAAAAACAAAGACTCAACGAGAAAACACTATATATTCTCCGACTAGAGAATGAATGTGGCTTAAGAATGAAGAACCAAAAATGATTTCATTTGGAAGAAAAAAATGCCCGAGAGGGGAAAGGGCCTTTGAATACTGAGTCTCTGAATAAGGAGCAGAGAATAGCAGCGGTATTTTCAAACAGGCCTGTCGCATGGTGGAAAAGGCCTATATAGTCTATAAATAAAATCAACTGCACATTATTTTGTCCCATCGGTTTTATTGGCCATATATTCAGAATTCATTATATAAATCTTTCAAAATAATGAGATATTACAAGAATAGTTTACAAGTCAGCTCTGATTGCACAAATATTTGACACAGGAAATCATTTTTACAAATACATAAGTTTTCTTACAAGAATACTTTAATAAAGAAAATAAGTCTCTATACATCTTACAGCAAATTTTATGCATTTTCTTTCCCCCATTCAACCATCATTTTGGGTTTTCTATCACAGCATGTCTACCACATCCAACAAACCAAATTACAGTCTGCAGCTTCTTCTCACTTTCAAATACTGAGATTTCTCACACYGTTGAGGAATTTTTCAGCTTCCTTTTCTAATCTTTCCTGAAATTTAAGAATTCATCCATTCAGGCTAGAAGAGGTAATTTAAACAACATTCCTTTGAAATAGAACTTGGATCAGGTTAATCACTGGGTTTGATGAATGATCTTTTCACTTCCCACCTAGGCTTAAGGCCAGCCAATGGTTTAAACCTGCTGTACCAAGTCCTTACATTCCAAATAGTCCCAAAATTGCAAAAAGGAAACCCTGGAAACAAGAGTAAAATACAAATATTAAGAAAGCTAAAATATCTGCTATTGATTAGAGAGCACCTTTAAATTAAGGTTCCTCCCAAGTTGAAGACGACAGAAAGGAAAGTATAAAGGTGTGGCAGTAGTTGTATAAAATATTGAAAATCTGAAAAGGTTAATTGCTTAGGCCAGTTCTATCATTTCCAAAATGTGAGAGGATACAGAATCCTTGCCTCTGTAGCCAGCTGAACTCAATATCTGACATTCTTCTTATGTTGTGGCTTTGATACAGCCTAACAAATAGCTGCTTACCCAGAGCAAGTCATCCTGTAGGCCAGGGGAACTTTAGAGAATACTGACCTTGTTTATCCGAAGAGATGGGACCCACCAGGGGAAACATGTGGCATTCACTCCATCCCTTCACTGTCACTGAAAAGTGTGTCCACTTGGCAAAGCTTATTGTCTTTTCAGGTAGCATGAATTAAGATCAAGAATGAGCAATATCCTACAGTTAAGTTCCTGAGTGCTCAGCTCCAATTATTCCATATACTTAAGAGGATTCTTTCATCAAGCCCTTGTCCATTGAGAGATTTAACAGCACTGAGGGACCACAAAATGTCCATTTCTCTTCTCCTTTATTTCTCTTGATTTCTCTTTTTCACCCCAGTGTAACAAATTGCTACAGGTTTTTACCAAAATGCCACAGCAGTAGTTAAAAATGAGTTATTTTGCATTACCAAAAGTATTCAATCACATTATCACGGGTCACATTTGCATATAACTAGGAGATAGCCAAATAATGTTTATTGCAGTGATTTTGCAAATTCAGCATAGTCAATGTATCCATCATTGTTCTTGTCATCATCTCTCAAGACACCATCTATTATGTTAATCAGTTCTTCTTCACTCATTAGTGGGGCCTGTTCACTCTCTTCCTATGAGACATAAATTAGACAGTAATGAGTTGTACATTTACTGGAAGAAGTGCCTAGTTATCTATCGTCCATGCTCACACACGTCTACAGACTTTCAACATCATAATACATGGCTACTTCTAGGAATCCACAAACTCATGTATCAATATTCAGTCAGTTTATYATAATCCAATTCAGGTATTATATATGCCAATTAAAAGAAAGATGCAGTCAAAGCAGGCCCTTGCGTATTCCCTCTTAAAGATTACCGTTTGCCCTTTTCTAATTACCAAAGCAATGCATGTTCTTAGAAGAAACCTGGGTCTAGCTTACAAAGAACTATGAGAGTCATARATTCCACGACCTACACACCTATCAAAAAAAAAAAGCTCACAGCCCAAATGAGCTAGCTTTGTGCACAATCTGCCTGTTAAAATGGAAACAGTGACATATGAATAMTACCTCAGGACCAGAACAAGAGGAAGAAGCACTGTCAACCAGCAGAACCTGTTATAACCTTTAGGAGAAAGTATGACCCTACTCAAGAAGCAAGTGCCACAAGGCTCACTGCTAGGTGTGAAGCTAAGGTCATTCACACCCATGGCTGGTTCTCCCTTTGCCATATGTCCCATACCTGCCCTTTCTTCTCTGCTTCCATCCACCAGTCTGTGTCCCATGTCACAGGATCATCTCAAAATGATGCTCTTCTCCTGTGCAAAAAACTGCTAGTGTTCCTTGAGGGCTAACACAAGCTCATTCCTATAATCATGCCTACATCACCAACTTTGCCTCCCCTCTAGTGGCCTGGGGGCCAGAAGGGACAAAATTAAGTCTGGAGACACAAGATTTTGATTTCCATTTGCTCATCTAGAAGAAGGAAGTAATGCCAGTGCCTGGCCCTGCCTACTCCACCTGTGGTAAAGAGCCAACTAGCTCTCTAATCTGCTTGAAAGTGCTTCGGGGCACTGTACTGTATCACAGGACACCTGACCTCTGCCACAGCCCTCCATCCCATGGTTCCCACTCACCTTTCTTCTCAAATGAAAAACCTCTTCCACCCCCTGCTCTGCACTATGAATGTGGCCTATCTTTTCAGATACTGGCTTAAGATATGAATACCCAGCTCTGGGGCCTCTGATTCAGCAGGTCACCAAGGGAAGTACTGTGGAACAGGGAGAGGCACAACAGAGCAACAAACAGAAAAGAGAAGCAGCACTATGGAGGCACAAAGATAGCACAGGGCACCAAGACTGGGGACTGAACTACCAGAGGGAGGATTTCCAGGACACACCCACTGAGCCACTACCTGACCTACCTCCTTATGGACATGAGTGATGGCTGTAGAGAGCTCTAAGCCATCAAGTAAATTATTTCCATCATAATCGTGCATTTTGAAATAATGGAGCTGCAGTTCTTGTGGGGACATCTCCGCCTCTGGTTTGTTGATGACACCTTCCAGATGCTCCATGATATGCCTAAAAACCAACAAATCAGATCATGCTGAAACCTTAAGGGCTCTGAAAAGTTCAAGACCTGAAATCTCATCCAGCTCAGAAAAACAGTGGCAGACCACACTCAAGGCTGATCCACACAGACAGAGCCCGGCAAGGGGCAGGGACAACTTGTCTGTTATGCCTGCAAGATTATGTGTTTGTTTTCCTCTTTATCATTAGAATTTTGTTAGAACACTTTTGGCCCATCAATTTAAAAACATTTTTTAAAAACAATTCAAGGATAACCCAGTGTAMTGTGTGAGGCCCACCAGCCCAAGACAAAAGCTGGGACAAATGACTCAACATCTGAATGTGTCAGTAAGAAAAAGCCTTGCCAGAGTCAAGAAACAATTACATTCTGAATTCCGCCACTACTATTGTGTGTGTCTATCTATGCATGTCTGTCTGTCTGCCTGTCTGTTGTGAAAGAGAAAGACAGAATTCAGACAAGTCATTTATCCTATTTGGCCTCAAAAGCTTCCACTTACAAATGAGGATGGAAAYAGAACACCTAACAGGTGGCTCTAGAGAATAAACAGCATCCTTGACAAATTTTAAGGAGCCACATAAATAGGAGAAAGRAAAGAGGTGTGCCCTTGCAGCTGGCTGCAGCTGCAGATGTTGAAAGCCCCGGACCCCAGTCCTGGCCAAATACGTACTCTTGGTCGTGCACTGTGTTCTTATCGAGGCCCACGCTGCTGGGATGGGGGACATTGGCCCCGGGCTCCTCAGCCCTGGCACCTGGAGCACAAAAAGCCCAGAGCAGGCCATACAGGAAGGGGCCTCTGAGCAGCTGCAGGGATCTCATGGTCACCGGTACCTAGGAGGTGGGGAACATAGGAGATGAAGGCAGAGTACAGAGCCACGATTTTTCTCGAGACTTGACATAATACACTTCTGGGAAACCTGGTGAGGCAGCCAGGCTGGGAAAGAAAACATGTTAAACTGGGCCACACCAGCTCTGTCATTAGACTAGGAGATGACCTTGGGCTCTCCAGGTTCCCATCASTCAAATGGGGAGGGGAATCTGCCAAGATTCCTGATACACTTTCAGAGGGCTAAGCAGCTCCATAAGTGCTCAGGGGGATACAGAGATAAGTCCTGTCTACAGCCTTCCAGTCCTCCAAGAGAAACACTTGCAACTGGGAGTAGAACTAAGAAAGGCACAGAGTGCAGTGTATTCAAGAAAGAAAACCCCCTGGGAGTACAGGGCACAAAGTTTCCTTAGATGAAGGAAAGCGAGATAAGGCTGACAGACATGGTGACACTTCAACTGGGCCTGGAAGGTACAGGGAAGAAAGGGGAACGGTGGGAACAGGGGCAGACAAGTGAAAAAGAAACACAAGCAGCTTCCCCTTTCGGGAAGACAGCACTGCAGATGGGGGCAAAGGTTCAACAGGCCACACTGGAGGAGGCTTCACACACCAGGCCATGGGGGGTCGACATTTTCTGAGCAACAAATAGGGAAGAACTAATGATTCATGACGGAGAGATGAGATGAGAGTTAGCCTTCAGACTGACCCATCTGGCAGCTGCATGGAGAAGGTATAAAGTGGGGCAGACCAGAGACAGGAACACTGAGGGCAACGAGGAGGAAGGTCCCCTCTGCAGCAGTGGAGATGAGGAAGAGGATGTCAACTCCAGTCTCATCCACCTCCCAGGGCTGTGACTGAAGCAAACGACTTAACTACTATGAGAGAGCATTGAAAAGGAAAGTGAGAGAGTAGTTAGGATTCTGTCACATTCTCCCCAGTCTCACTACAGTTGGGATTGTGGTCAACTAGACAACTCAGTCAGCCCTGAGGGCAGGGAGTACTTTATTTGAATCATTATTTCCCACCAAGGGAGAGGCCTTTGATAACTGTTGCAACTGGAAGTACCCGTCCTTCCTGGGGTTAGATGCTGCCCTTAAAGAGGAAGGTAAAGGTCAGCCAGGAGCCAACCTATAAAAATGAAGAAAAGACCTGATCTAACAGTCAGTTACCAAAAGGCAGAGCCAATTCTGCTGGATAACAAAGGCCAGTGATTCCGAAGAGGCCAAATGCATCACAGCTCCAGATCTACAGCAGGGAAGATAAAACAGAAGGTTCCGGTCCCACCCTTATACACAGCACACTCAGCCTACAGCTCAGAAGCTGTCACTGTCTCCTCTCTGAGCCTGGGGCTGGGAAGGGGAGGTGTCATAGCCCTTCATCCATCTTAAAAGATTCTTAGGATAGGACCCTRAAAGTATGCCCCTATGATGATTAGCAAAATTTCCCCAAACCATTCTGCCCATCATCCRCCAAGATCCTTCCCCTAAGGGGGACAACCGTCGCTAGGATGTGCAACCTCACAGGGTGCTAAAAAGCAGCATCTAGGCAGGCTTATTGCTCATCGACATTATAATGCAATCTCTCGTGCTATATAATAAGATGCTCAATACAGACTACATGAAAGAACAGGCTGCAAGTTTATAAAGAATAATTCTCTTCTGTCAAATAAAAATATGTATATATATATGTATATATATATATATATATATATACACACACTAAAAAATGACTAAAAAGTGTTAATAAAGACACTCTTGGCTGGGTGTGGTGGTATACGCATATAATCCCACCTACTCAGGAGACTGAGGCAACCAGCCTCAGTAACTTAGCAAGATCTCATCTCAAAATAAACACAAACTAAAAGGGCTAGATACTCAGCTCAGTGGTAGAGGGCCCCTGGATTCAACCCCAGTACTAGAAAGAAAGATAAAAAGAAAGAAAGAAGGGAGGGAGGGAGATTATTTAAATCAAGAGATTAGAAGCGATTGTGATTTTCTTTTTACTTTCTATCGCTTTGAAATGATACTATAAACATCCTTTTCTTTACAAAAATGTCCTTAATGTAATTGCTCCCATAATTTTGTTCTAATATTAAATGGATAGGAGAGTTTCCAGTTAATACTTTAGTGTGTGAATGTGTGTGTGTGTGTGTGTGGGTGCGCGCGCGTGCACACACGCTACTAAGGATTGAATATGGGTATTCTACCAGTAAACTACATCTCCAGCCCTTTTTAAAAACTTTTTTGAGACAGTCTCACCAAATTGCCAAGGCTGGTCTCGAACTTGCAATCCTCCTGCCTCAGACTCCCAAATTGTAGGAATTATAGGCATGTGCCATCACTCCCAACTTCCAGTTAATTCCTATCTCCATAAAATAATCCAGAAGCAACTAGAAACCATTCTTCCAACTTTACCTACTACAAGAGCCCAAACCCTGACAAGGCCACTACCATAGTACCTGGTACCAGAAAACAAGGTCTCAAGTTACTTCTAGCCACTAGCCACTATTGGTCACAGCAGAACAACTTGGGATTCAGTTCCTCCAGAGTCTTTCAGACTTATTTATGACCAACATCTTTTTTTCCCAGCAAGCCCTCTTCACCTCTAGTCTGGCTTARGTTTTCTTCCCACAAGCTCCCTTCAGAAGGCACCTGTCCTTTGCTGATGACAGCTATGAACACATTCTTGGAAACTGCCTGATTACTTGTCAGTGCCCCTTCCTGGACTGGCTGTGAGAGGTCATTCTTGGCACTGGGCACAGCCTGGCACAAACTGGTGGTTCTTACCCTGTGTGCCATGGTCCTTGAGAGACTGTGATCCCACCTTTACAGACACAATGCCAAGTTTTGATGTCAATGTAATTGAGGATAAGACTTTGGAGTTACCTATCAGACAGTTAAGCTGAGTAATCACTGAACCCATGGCACACTTTCTTCTAACTACATGGTTGGATACTTAGTATGTAACACTGGGGTATGTGTATGCATGTGTGGTGGTGGTGGTGTTTTCTATTTAGGCAACACCAAAAAGCAAYAAAGGGATTCATAATACAGAAACTAGAGGTCCAAATTATCCCTTCTTCAAGGAAGCATAAAAGCCAAGAACCATTTATTTTGAACTTGTCTTATTTGGGTTTGCTGTTTCAAACCATCAAAACACAAAACAAACCCAAATCTATTAACTTATAAAAGAACAATCTTCAAGTGCTACAATAAGAACAGGGAATCTGGCTGCCACCTAAACAAATTAAATGGCTCACTGTCAAAAGGAAACAAACTATTCTGTTCTGCCCAAAGAACATATTGCATCATCTATAYTCCAACTACTTAGCTCAAGGCTACGGGCAAACAGCCTGAAAGATAATGCCCAGGCTGGAAAAAAATCCAAAAAGAGGAGAGAGTTCTGAAGAGACTGCAGAACAAAACCCATGCCTGACATTCCACAAGAGGAGCAGTCTCAGTCCTGGAGGGAGGTGYTGGACAATTATCATTGGTGCTGTGACTTGAACCAAGGTCCCCTCACTGTTCTAGCAGCCTCTTCCTGTCCCACTGGCTTATTTCCAGTGGTTCCATCTGTCCATTCCTTCTTCCTTCCTTCTTCCTTCTATCCAGGTCTTGTTCAAACGTCACCTGGGGATTCTTCCAGCCAACAACATTTGCTACCTCCTCTCACAACAATCTGCAGCCTTTCCACCCACTTAACCTTAGCATATAGTCACATATTGTTCTTATTTCCATTTTTTTCTTTTCCTCCTTCTCTAAGGGTCAGGACCCTATCTTTTTGGCTCTTGTTTATCCTGCTGAACTGATATGGGGGTGGCATATCTCACTCAGGGCAATACATTTTGCACCTAGGCATGTGATTCCTCATTGCAAAGCTCTCATCTATGCAGGAACTTCTCTATTTAGCCCTCCCACCTCTGGTTTGTGCCTGGTCCACCCTTCCTTCTCATTGTGTCATTAGTCCTATCAGCACATGAGAGTCTGAAGCCAGACTTCCTCCTAGCAGCTGTTGGCAGCTTTACTTTCATGATGGGGGGATGGAGGGCATTCAGCTAAGAATTCACCCTCAAAGCAGTCACTCTTACCAACATCCAGACATCCTGTGCACAGAGTCAATGCCAAAGAAAATTCTGACCAGTATTTTCCCCATTATCACTGCCATGGTCTTAGAAAATAACCAATTTCCTAGGCTAAAGAAGGCTTTGTATGGGCTGAGGGTTGAGAATTGGTTCTGAAAAAATTGGCATTTAATAGTTTGATCTGTTTGTTCATTTGGAGAGTCCAAGGAGCAACCATGCTTCATTTGTGCATTTAACCAACATACTAACAGCCTGGTAACATATGAACAGGACTGAGGACTGTGACCCAGACAGACTCTTTACACAGATCACAGCCAGCTGGGAAGGAGAAGCCAGTAAATAGACCCATTGGGTTCCACAGGAGTCCCAACTCTCACCTGTAATAAAACAGGAATCATGAAAAGGATTATTTCAATCAAAGGATAGTGCCTCAAGCAGAAGGAACAAACTGTAATGAACACTTAAACCCAGAAAGAACTTGGTCCAATCTAGGAACTAAGATTCAATACAGTTGAAGACACAGTATTAAGGAAATGGTTGAGTCTTAAGTACCAAGAGGACAGGTCACAGAGGTGCCTGTAAACCTGTATAAGAACTTGGAAGAGCAATGGATATTCTAAGATGGGTAAGGGAATGGGGGGAAAGAATCAGTTGATATGTGAGATTTCTGTTCTAAAACCACAGCTTTAGGTCCCTTGTATTGAACAACCTGCAGAGTATCAAGGAGGGATGCAAGGGATCAGTTAGGAGGATGAGGTAGTCCAGAGCAGCGATGGCGGCCTGAACCAGCTAGGGCAGCAGGATGGACTGGAAAAGTGACGTATCCAAAGAGAACTTGGATGAATTCTATGTGGGTGGGTCAAGGAGGGGTGGTGAGAACTGCGCCCAAGTTTCTGGTCGGGACATCTGCGTGGAAAGCAATGCCAGAGAACTAAAACAAGGAAAATCAGTTTCCCCAGCTTTCCCACTCCGCCTCGGCTCAGCCTAGCCAACCCCTGGGCCCACCAGGACCTGTGCGGGAACCAGGGCAGTCAGAGTAACGCCTCCTGTCCTCCTGTTTTCGGGCTGGCTTCAGACAGCGTCTATCCGTCACAGGTGGCCCCACAGTCAGGTCCTCGGGCCCTCAGGGGTCAGGCAAGAGCGCGGAAATCGACCAGACAGAAACACAGGTTTCCGCAACGGGAGACAGGCCCTGCAAAGCGTCCAGAGATGGCACCGGAGCCAAGCCCCCCACTCAGCTACTCCTACCTTGATCCTAGGTCCCAGGTCCCGATCCCGCCCCGCTGCTAACGCCTGAGCGTCTCCCACTGACCTCCGACCAAGGGGTCAGGCCTCCGACCCTCCGGGTTCACTCACCCTCACTGTGCCCGCCGCAGACGCGAACCCCTCCAGCGTGAGCCTCACCAGACCCCGTCCCGAGAACGCTCTCTTTCGTCCCGCCCCCGRCCAGTTTGCGCACGCGCGCTCCCTCCCACCCGTCCATTGCGCYACGGGCCACGCCCATGCGTCGGGCCACACCCCCTGTCTACGGATAGCCGCGCGCACTGCTTACGTGAGTCCACGTGTAACGAACAGCGGACGCAGYGCTCTCGTCTTTCTGAAGGCGACACCCAGCTCCAGCCCGATTGAGGCCTATGGGAGCTCCAGGTGCCGGGCAAGTTGCAAATTAACCCCGAGAGCCCCCAGGAACCTGGTTCGGCGTGGGAACTAGGCTAGCGGATCTGGGCGCGGCGCACTCTACAGCTGGCTCCCAACGCCAACACCTCATCTTTGGAGTCCCCGGGTTCCTCCGACTACAAGTTGAAAAGAAAAATAATAGGAAACCTAATTCCTTTCCTAAGAATCGGCGAGAAGACGCTAGTGCTGGCCTTGAGTCCAGCGTTTCCCAGATTGGCCTACTTTCAGGTTCTGCTTGCTATCCCACAAGCCGCGACAGCTCAACACCAACTCACAAGTCCCACCAAGACTTTATGGGCGACCCAGATCAAATGCTGCTTTTATAATTCTAGAGAAGASAAAATACTTGGAGAAATGAATAGGTATTCATGTGCAATCCTGCCCTTAACATTTTTGCTCCCATACAAGATTGTCTTCAGCGAATATTTATAGGCCAGATGGATAAAAGAATATAGACTCTCGCTTTTTAAAACCCTTGTCCCACTTGTGCCCAGAAAGATACATAATCGGTTTTTCATAGGAGCCTGGATCCAAAATAGGAGAGACAAAAACAAATTAGATAGGTGGAAGATCCCACAACCCCCCTGCAGCCTGCTTTAATAGATCAATTCCTTGAAAGTTGGCCAACGCCAACTGTCAGTGAATGCCTCATTCTCACATCTTTATCTGAGATCCAAATCTGTCAACCTTATCCCAGAGAAAAATTCCAGGATCCTAAAGAGACCTTTTAGTGCCCCTTTTCCTTACTCTGAAGTTTGAGTTAGTTTGATCTAGTTTATTCCAGGTACCCTGTACACACCAGTCATCCATATATCTATCATTCAGCCACCCCTCCATTTACTCATTTATTGATTAATTCAATAACAGGTCTGAGTATCTTCTAAGCACAAGGCACTGTACTAGGAGCTACCAGAGATACAAATAAGATACGACATTTTCCTTTAAGAAGTTCAGTATCTGGAGGAGAGAGGAAAGGGAACTGATGATAGCCAAATTATATTGTTATATTGTGTGCATATGTGAATATGTAACAACAAATCCCATCATTATATACAATTATAATGCACCAATAAAAATGTGAAAGTAAAAAAGAAGAAATTCATTATCTAATAGATGTATAATGTCCTCATTCCATTTAACCGAGGCTTCCACTTTTTCTATGGGTATTATCCTGTCACTGCTCTTTTGATTCAACAAATGGTCTCTACCAGATCATTGTCATCCTAATAAAAGCTTGTTCTCTGGTTTCTTCCTACCAGTCATTGAAATTGCAGTCTCCATGCAAATCTAGTGGTCTCTTCTTTGATCTCTGTTTTTATTTTTCTTTCTGTTTCAATGCTATTGATCAGGCAGCCACTCCTACTCTGAAAAATTCTCTTTTTTTCTGACACCATACTCTCTTGGTCTTCCTCTTGTCTCACTGGTTATTCTCTCTCAGACTAGAGTTTGCTGGCTTCCCCTGCTCACCATATAAATAAATACACACACACACACACACACACACACACACACAGGGTTCTTTACCTTTCTGTATCTACCCACTCTCCCTATGTAACATCTATTCCTAAGCTTTATATACCATTTAAATACAGGTGACTCCAATATATATCTCTMTAGGGACAAATCCTCCCTGTAAGTGCTAACTCTTTTAAATAACTGCCTACCTGACATCGAAAACTGGCATCTTAGACTTAACGTAGTCCCCTCCCCAAATCTGAGTTTTCACCCTTGAACCTGTACCTCTGTCAGTCTCATCCATTTTAGTAAATGTCACTACTATTCACCCAGTTGTTTAAGATAAAATTCTAGGAGCTCTTCTTGTTTTTTTAAATCCCCTTACCTTTATAATTAATCTTTCAGCAAATTGTCTTGATGCTACCAAAATACATCCTAAGTCCTTTACTTCTTTCAACCTCTACTATCCTACTACTGTTCTATCCAAGGAACTACCTACCATCTGATATAGAACTACTTGAGATAGAACTTCCCAATCTCTCTGCTTCCATTCCTGCCCAAATCTGGTCTGGAAGTAAGAAGCCACCTTTAAGTCACTTAAGGGGGGGGGTGCTCTATAACTTATAGCTGAACCCATTCCTAATAAGCAAATAATTTGGTACCAGAAATACGGTGCTAAAAAGAGCAACTAAAATGTGAAATTGGCTAATGGGAGGATAAGGTAGCCAATGGCAATACTCTATTCCAAACTGCAAAATCAGTAGTGAAACTGTCAAATGGCTGTCACTTGTTGGACCTTGGATACAGACCATATGCCAACCAAAGTTGTACTCTAGGAGAAATTTCAGGAACTATATAGAACATGAGTGATTGTTGACTTTTTTTTTTTTTAGTAGCTTTCAGCAAACTCCTTCAAAAGCATGGGAAATCTACACTAGAAAAATGATTTGAAAGCACTGATTAAAGAAAGTAAAAGACTTGATAAAAGGGTTCTCTTTATCTGCAACCTACAATCCAGATTGTCCAAGAGTCCCACGACTCGTGGCCTTGTTGGTTTGAAATGACCAATTTACTTTGCGTACCCAAGCTGAAACCAGAGCAAGTGGAAAGAGAAGCAGCAGCTGTATCAGGAAATAGGACGGAAGCCACAGGTGGCAAGATGGATTGTAGGTGACATCTTTTTTCTTCAGCTATTATTTGAATTGCTTCAAAACAATGTTTTGCCTATATAGAAGATTCCAGTGTGAATCAGAACAGGGGTTTCTGACAAGACTGAAAATTTATACGTTTTAKTATTGCTTTGATTATATGATAATATATTACTTATTTGGAAAAAATAAGTTGGAAATAACCTAATAAAAACAACTTAAAAGACTTTAGATAAATTATTTGATTGCAATTCCTCATACATGGAATTGACCAGACAGTTAACAAATGATTGAGGAAATCCTGTGTCACCAACAGTCTGTTGCTCTTCAACCTATGACAATCCCTSGACCCCAAATTCCCTCTAATAGGCACTGGGATGCAAAAGGTGTGCATTTTGCAAAACTGAAGGACWGAAAAAGAGTGGGGCTTCCAAATGCTCCAACTTTGGATATGGTTTGCTGACCAGGATATAGCAGGTTTTTGTTGTTGTTGTTCCCTGAATGGAAGTTCTTATTTTTCTTCACATTTTACATTTAAAATGTGTTTMCTTGTAGCTTACACACACCCATATTTTGTTAATGTATAATACTTATAAAGAAAAGTGTATATGTAGAAAAGTATACAACTCAATAAGTTTTCAGAATTGAACATGACTATTTAACCAGCACCCAGATCAAGAACTGAAACATTACCAACGCCCCAGGAGCTCCCYGTATTCTGCCTCACAAACATCATCTCTCCCCCAAAGGTATCTATCATCCTGATACCACAGAGCAATGTCTTTCTYAGGAGAACAGGTTAAGTTTTTTTGGAGGGGTACTGGGGATTGAACTCAGGGGCACTAGACCACTGAGCCACATCCCCAGCCCTATTTTGTATTTATTTAGAGACAGGGTCTCACTGAGTTGCTTAACACCTCGTTTTTGCTCAGGCTGGCTTTGAACTCACTATCTTCAGCTTCCCAAACTGCTGGGATTACAGGTGTGGGCCACCATGCCTGGGCTGGATTCATTAACACAAAAGCTGGTATTATAAAGGTCACCTCTCATGTTATACTTCTTTCATATGTGCCTGCTTGTCCTCTGCTTTCTGCCATGAGTCAAAGCAATATGAGGCCCTTAGTGATAACAGACTCTTGGACTTTACATATAGGCTCCAGGACCAAACCAAAATAAGTCTCTTTCCTTTATAAATTACCATCTGGAGTATTTTGTTATAGTAACAGAAAATGGACTACCAACACTCCAGGAGCTCCCTGTATTCTGCCTCACAAACAAGAGGCCTGCACACCACACAAAGTACTAAGACTCCTAATCGTATATAGGAATTGCTGAGATTTTAGGGTTATCTCCTTTGTGGGTGAGTTAGTACATTTCATGCAAAATGTGTACATATAAAATAAAGATATACCTGAATTTCAGGAACTAAAGAGCTATATAAATCATATGCTGGTCATTATATTGGGTGGTACCCCAGTTTCCATTTTCAAGCCCCTTCTCTCCTTTCCATCTCCAAAAATAAATAGAAGCTGAAAAAATGAAGCCCTCACTATCCCAACTTATTTTGTGTGTGCACCTAAATAGCCATGTGACACAGTTCTAGGCATGAGACATAGGAGAATTTGAGAAATGTTTTGCTTTTCTGATAAAAGGGTTGGTAACTGGTTCAGACTTTTCTCTTCTGAATGGAGATGTAATAACAGTCAACCTCCAACCATGAAGGAAAGTTTAGAGAATTTCATAAAGGTTGTCTCACTGCTATGGAGCTGCCAAGCTAGCAAGAGCAGCTGCTTACCTCTTGTCATGTGGGGAGAACTCCTTCCTATTTGTTTAAGCCACTCTAAAACAGTTACTTGCACTCCAAAGCATTCCTAAGTGACACAGAGGACAAGAAAGATGTGGACTCTAACATGAATTTAACTTATGAATCTGAGGTCATAGGGTGAGAGAGGGGGCTGAGAGAGCAGTTTATGTAGAGAGCCTGCATTGACTTTATAATCAGGAAAATAATGTTTCATCCTGACATAAATATTACCAAGTACAACAAGATGTTAAATTTGAAATTTTGATGAAAATGCTGAGATAGGATAGTTACTGAGTTATGAAAGTAAGGTATGAAGCAGACCACAAAAATGGTAGATTTTTTCAAAGGAA